TGCAGGAAGAGAGCCCCCTCCTCCCGGGCCAGCCAGCTGAAGCAGCGGACGCGGGGTCGGGGGGCCTCCGGCAGCAGCAGCTCCAGCACCCCCTCCCTCTCCAGGTAGAGCTGAGCCCCCCGAAAGGTGCCGGCGGGTTTAACGCAGGCGGTGACGTGCCGGGGGCTCCTGCCCTTGGCGGAGGCGGCGGCGGGGGGCAAGCGGGGGGCCAGGCGGAGGCGCAGGGCCCCGGTGGGGTACAGCCATTCCAGTGAGCCCTCGGCGCAGTGCAGGGAGAGCTGCTCCACGCTGCCCGCCTCCTGCGACAGCCCGCTGCGAGGCACAGCGGCCCCCGTCAGCCGGGACCCCTCCGGGTGACGGGGACCCCCCAACCCACGGCCCCCCCGGCACGGCAGCACCCCGGCACTCCCGAGCAGCGCCCGTGCGGAGGCGTGCGGGGCGAACGCGGGGAGGAGCAGCACCGAACCCTCGATGGCTCGGAGTTGGGGTGCAAGAGCATCATTCGGGGGGTGCTTGTGCTTCCCAGCACCCCCCCGGGGGGTGCTCAGGCAGGGCCCCCCTCAAACCGGGGGTCGGCTCCCATGCCCCCCCAGCCAGGGTGCCCACGGCCCCGGGGTCGCTTGTTATCCCCCCCCCTTTGGGGGATCCCCAGTGGGTGCTGGGGGGCACTCTGGGGTGGGTACAACCCAACCGTGCATACCCCTGGCTGGGTACACCCCAACTGTGCACACCCTGGCTACAGGCACTCTGGGGTGGGTACAACCCAACCGTGCATACCCCTGGCTGGGGACACCCCAACTATGCACACCCTGGGCTACAGGCACCCTGGGGTGGGTACACCCCAACTGTGCACACCCTGGCTACAGGCACTCTGGGGTGGGTACAACCCAACCGTGCATACCCCTGGCTGGGTACACCCCAACTGTGCACACCCTGGCTACAGGCACTCTGGGGTGGGTACAACCCAACCGTGCATACCCCTGGCTGGGGACACCCCAACTATGCACACCCTGGGCTACAGGCACCCTGGGGTGGGTACACCCCAACTGTGCACACCCTGGCTACAGGCACTCTGGGGTGGGTACAACCCAACCGTGCATACCCCTGGCTGGGTACACCCCAACTGTGCACACCCTGGCTACAGGCACTCTGGGGTGGGTACAACCCAACCGTGCATACCCCTGGCTGGGGACACCCCAACTATGCACACCCTGGGCTACAGGCACCCTGGGGTGGGTACACCCCAACTGTGCACACCCTGGCTACAGGCACTCTGGGGTGGGTACAACCCAACCGTGCATACCCCTGGCTGGGTACACCCCAACTGTGCACACCCTGGCTACAGGCACTCTGGGGTGGGTACAACCCAACCGTGCATACCCCTGGCTGGGGACACCCCAACTATGCACACCCTGGGCTACAGGCACCCTGGGGTGGGTACACCCCAACTGTGCACACCCTGGCTACAGGCACTCTGGGGTGGGTACAACCCAACCGTGCATACCCCTGGCTGGGTACACCCCAACTGTGCACACCCTGGCTACAGGCACTCTGGGGTGGGTACAACCCAACCGTGCATACCCCTGGCTGGGGACACCCCAACTATGCACACCCTGGGCTACAGGCACCCTGGGGTGGGTACACCCCAACTGTGCACACCCTGGCTACAGGCACTCTGGGGTGGGTACAACCCAACCGTGCATACCCCTGGCTGGGTACACCCCAACTGTGCACACCCTGGCTACAGGCACTCTGGGGTGGGTACAACCCAACCGTGCATACCCCTGGCTGGGGACACCCCAACTATGCACACCCTGGGCTACAGGCACCCTGGGGTGGGTACACCCCAACTGTGCACACCCTGGCTACAGGCACTCTGGGGTGGGTACAACCCAACCGTGCATACCCCTGGCTGGGTACACCCCAACTGTGCACACCCTGGCTACAGGCACTCTGGGGTGGGTACAACCCAACCGTGCATACCCCTGGCTGGGTACACCCCAACTATGCACACCCTGGGCTACAGGCACCCCGAGGTGAGTACACCCCCAACTGTGCACACCCCGGGCTACAGGTACCCCAGGCTGGGTTACACCCCAACTGTGCACACCCCGAGCTATGGGCACCCCAGGCTGGGTTACACCCCAACTATGCACACCCCGGGTACAGGCACCCTGGGCTGGGTACACCCCAACTGTGCACACCCCAGGCTGGGTACACCCCAACTATGCACACTCCAGGCTATGTACACCCCCAGCCATGCACACCCGGGGCTACAGGCACCCCAGGCTATGCACACCTCGAGTCATGCACACCCCAGGCTATGTACACCCTGGGGTACGTACAGCCATGGTTATGCACACCCCAACAATGCACACCCCAAGCTATGCACACCCCAAGCTGTGCACACCCCAACCTATATACACCCCAGTCTATGCACACCCCAACCTACATACACCCCAGTCTATGCACACCCCAACCTATATGCACCCCAACTTATGCACACCCGAAACTATGCACACCCCAACCTACACCCCCCCCCAGTCTATGCACACCGCAAGCTATGCACACCCCAACAATGCACACCCCAAGCTGTATACACCCCAGTCTAGGCACACCCCAGTCTATGTACACCCCAGTCTATGCACACCCCAAGCTGTGCACACCCCAACCTATGTACACCCCAACAATGCACCCCCAAGCTGTGTACACCCCAATCTATGCACACCCCAAGCTGTGCACACCCCAGGCAACAGCCCCTCTGGTTCCCTCCCCCCAGCACCATGTACCCCAAGAGTCCCGCACACCCCAACCTCCATACAAACTACCCCCGTCCCGGCAGCACCCCCGTCCCTACAGGGGCACTTTCTGAACCGGGGGAAGCCGTGGCGCGTGGCGCTGGGCCTGGCACGGGGTCACGCACACCCGAACCCCCATTCCCCACCCCAAACTTGCCCCTCGGGATTTTACCCCCCCCCCCCAGCCGCTATTGTGCCAGACCCCCAAAACCCCCAA